AAGATAATAAATTTTAGTTTGGTAACAGAAAAATCATAAAATATTATACCAGATAATAAACTAATTGATTTTCCTAGGCAAAAAATATAGTTTATATCAATATATGGTACTTCAAAGCCAGTTTCTACACATTTCCATAGAATCTACAATGTTCAAGTAAAGTAAAAGAAAAAAATTATGATCATTTCATAAAGTACTCACTATATAAGGTAAAATTTGAAATAAAATATTACTATGAGTAACTAAAATTTATGATTCATTGTTTCATTTTTCCCTTTTAAAAGAGACCAATTCACTTGCTCTTCTAGAATACCAATTTCTTAGAATCCTAACAGAATTATTTTAGGGTATTATCAAAACTACTTATTAAGCAATATGGTAAACATCATGTTACTACAATTAATCTCTGTGTACTAACTACAGCAACCTCTTGTGTTTACCAGAATAAGATGTAAGGTGCATCAGAAATACTGCTATTTGAGGTCTCAGTTTTCAATATTTTTGTATGAAGAATTATAAGATACTTTCTCCTTTGAGAAAGGAGAACAGAAGAAGGCAAGAATGAAAAAAACTGAAGAGAAACAGTTAAGCAAGAAATGATGAAGGTGTTAAAGGAAAAGGGAAGAAAATTAAGTTAGAAGAAAAATCTGAAAAACAAAGATGACAATTTGGTAAATTAAAAAGAGAGAGAGACAGCACCTTTGGGGTTAGCCAATATCATGCTATTGATTCCACTCAAAGGGCTACTCCTGCTGATGTCTAGGACTAGGGTTGTGGGGTGAGAGGGAAGGGAAAGGAGAGCTGGGCTTTAATGGGTCACCACACTCTCCATCTATTTCGATTATGTTGACTTTCCCTTTAATCAATACTTTACTGTCCGGGGGTTGAAGGAATAAGAGGGAGAGGACAGAGTCAAAAATGGAAGACTAGAGTGAGAATAAAGGAGACACCTTTGAGAATTATATAAATGAAGTTAGAATAACCCTTCCAGATGACATAATAGTCCTTTAATTTGTTCCTTCCAACACCCTTCACCTCATTCCCTCTGCCACCACCAGTTTAACACTTGCTAAACAATGTTCACTATTGGGGAGTTATGAGAGCCACTAGCTTATAGCACTCATCTTCCATCTCTCACTAATCAATGTCCAGCATCCTATTTGCTGCAGTCTATCTTCTTTTTAACTATCCCAACCCAGTTATTTTCCATTTCAGTAGCCTTTATAGCCACATCCATGAAACAATTTTTTGACAGAATGTAATCACCAGGTTCCAGAAGACCTTTCAAAATAATAAGAATATTTTAAAATATTTACACGAAATAAAATGAAATTTTTCCAAATGCTGGATCAAACCATCACATATCCCACTCTTTTCAACTGATAGTCCTATGAAGAAAATATCTGTTTTTAAAGCTTTAGAACACACATCAAAAAAGAGGATTAACATGAAATGTAACAAATTTATTAGGAATATGCCTAAATAGATAACTATAAATATTAAATAGTCTCATCAACTAAAAAGCATGTTAAAAGTGCATCATGAGGGCAGAGTTGCTGAGTCTCCCAGAGAGAGAGAGATGTAGTGACAGATGAAGTGGAAAAAATCTTGGGAGATTCCAGCAGCCTTTGAGGAGTTGGATCTTCACTGGCAGGGAAGACATGCAATAGGACTCAGTCTGCTGTGCTTGGATGTTCATGATTTTTTCTTCTTCCTACCTGGCAGCCACAGTTTCTCAGCCACAGAAGTATGGTCATTTGAAAAGCTTAAAAGCCACTTACAATAAAAAATATAGCAACATGAAGAAGGACATAAAACTTCCACTTTCATTTTAAATAAGAAAATATACTTTTTTAAAAAAAGCAAACTCAGAACACACACATCTAATTGTACATCTTGAAGATATACCATACTAGCAATCTCAAAAAATAGTACTTGAATTCATCTGTGATTCATTCAACTTTCTCAGACTCATAGGGAAAAAAATTCAAATTGCTTTTCTAGATATTTAAAAATAAGAATAGTTATCAGATTTTATTTTGTACATTGCTACCTATAACAGAAAATTTTTAAATTACAGAAAAATACTAACTACTCACTGGGCTAACAGCATTCAAAATAAAAGACTAAATATTACTCTTTTCATTATTGAGTCTAAATTGTTATAGAATTTACTAACACTATCTCACTATTTTGATCAATTACTGGATTAAAATATTGATTTTGTATTTCAAATATATTAAGCCATAGTTTAATGTAATTATTATATCATAACCAACCTGGTAATAAATGTAGGGATATAAGGGGTAATTGTAGACTACAAATAATTTACACTTGTTTGAACTAATTTATCTACCTATCAAATCTTTCATAGTAACAAAACCCAGGAAAATTCTATTTCACTACCTCTGTATACTGTGTAGAACACAATTAAAATTACTAAACAGACCACAATGCACACTACAGCAAGAAAAAGAGGGCATAGTCAGCTGCATTTTATAAAATGCACCATTTTTGCACAAATATGCCTCTCACTTGAACACAAAGATCTGGTAATTGATCACAATATTAAGGAAGACTAGTGTCATGGAATTCAACATATTTTCCTGTAAGAGATTGCCTTTATTATTATCTAAAATCAATTTGTAGGTTCTAGTAGCAGTCTGTCAAGAAACTGGACTCCAATGGGCCCAACTATTGTAGCAAGTAAAAGGAAGAAAAAAGGAGGTCGAAAGTTAATTTTTATTGAGCCACTACTGTGTGCCTGGCATTGTGATAGCTTTTTACATATCTTATTTATCTGAAGGAAAGGAGTGAAAAAGTTAAATTTCAACCCCATTTCTAATTTTAATTCTACTGATCCTACCTCTATTATGTAAATTCTCACTCCCTTTCCTTTTCTCTTATCCTTGGCCCCACTTAATCTCTCACTGAATCCTGAGATGACTTACATGATTGTTAGAATTCTTTCCCTTTTGGTTGATAATTTTATCACTTGAGTTTGGGGAGGGAGTAAAATGAAACTAAAGTAAGAGCATGGGCCTTAGACTTAGAGAGCTTGGTGTTGTAGGTTAAGTTAAATTATCACTCTAAGTCTCAATTTCCACATATACTTCTTTGTAGGATCACTGTAAGGAATAAATGACATAAAATAAATAAAGTGCTTAACATTATCCTTGGCACACTATAAGAACTTAGCAAGTGTTGGCTATAATTTTCATTATAAAAAAAGTAAAATGGATGCTTCACTAGTTACCATAACTCACTTAAAGCCATAAGTCAATTTCAGAGCAAAAACTGGAAGCAAGTTTCCCCATCATTATTCTGTGTAGTTTTCAATATTTTAGAATATTCCTGTGATGTAAAGATATATTTATATATTCTCACAGTACTTAAATATTATCAATAGATATAGATTCATTAGCTCATTTGTAGCTTTTAAAGACTTTTATATTCATTTGATAAGTATCAGAATCTTTGCTCTACAAAAAGTATCCTTTAAACAGGTTATTTTTCATTAGAGACTAATTTCTATCCTTTTAGAATTGACCAACTGGAAATTGGTCCATCTATCCAACAGATGTCATGTTTGTTAAGGTCATGTTGGAGAAATAGAAGCAACTTGAACACTAGAAGAGGGAGAAACTGACTGTCTAATGAAGCAGCTGCTTTAGCACACTATCCAAATCCTCATCTTAGGGGATAAGAAACTTTATTCTGGACAACCACTTTGTACAGTTCCTAGTGATGAGAACTTAATCATCATCAAAACTGTCATAGTGTGCAAAGGCTTTTTTTGATTAACATTCTGCATTAATTCCTATTAACCTTATACTCACATGTTTAATTTTTTAATTTATATTAACTTCTATTCACTTAGATAATGAACTCATTGAAGAAATACCACAACTTTAATTATCAGTGTTCAGCAGCCTCCCCAAAATATCACAAACTTTTCAGTTTATTCAAAGCCAAAATTAAAATGACTTCTGCCTTAAGATCAGTAATCAGAGAAGGATCAGACTTTTCACATAAGTCTTCTAACCCCTAGACTTTGGCCTTTCTATTTAAAATTTCTTCTACGATTGGAACATGCAAAAGCAAATTTAGTTAAAGCTAAAACAGAAAATAATTACTCATGCTAAAAAATTAGTGAGCTCTAAAAATATTTACTGCAACAAAACTATTTTTGTCAAATGAGGATTATTAATAATAAGATTATTTTACCTTCATTTTTAAACAATATACTCTATTTGGGTACAGATATGAGTACAAAGTGAATCAACTGAGATAGAAAATAGTCTAAAATAAAAATCATGTGATGTTCACTTTCTAAATTTGAGATTAAGAAAAATAACCCTTGAAAATCTGCCACAGGCACAGAATGCTATCATTCTTAGCCTAGAAAGGGATTCATGAGGTTCATAAAGCAAGAAAATTTGATGAACTTATTTAGTTCAGCACAATAGTTTTAAAACTAACACTGCAGTCCTCTTTTGGGAAATGAACAGCTAATTCAGCTACTACATATTAATTAAAAAAAATGAACATTCAAAATAATCAATATACCAGATAATTTAATGAACAGATCAGTCTTAAAGTATATGAATGCTGTTAAAAAACACATTAACTAGGTAATTCAATAATTTATAAAATAAAACTTAAAATTTATATCAAGAAAATGATGAATTTGTATGCATCGTGACTTTAATTTATATTCCAAATTATTATCCCAGTTCATGGGGTACATAATTTTACCTTGTAGCTGTCCATATAGAAATGCATATGTAACCTCAGTCACCACCCAAATTCCTCACGTTCTTTTAAAACTATGCCTTACATTCCATCAAATAATTAAGAGAATAGTTATTCAATTATTTTTTAAAAGGTTATTCAACTATTTTCTACACAAACAGGCATTTTATTTCATTGATTTTTTCACACTTTAGGAAATGTTTATATTAGTTCCTCCCACTGACTCAGAAGGTAATTATACATACCACAGTCTGATGATTAACTTGAATCACTTCATCACCAGCATGGATTTTTTTGCACCGATCTGCAGGTGACTAAATGTAACATAAAGGAAATGATAAAGAACAAATTTTGTCAGTCATCTCTTCTCTTGAAACACTATAATAAGTTCACCTCTTTAAATTAGATCAATAATTTAATTATCATGTTCTAGGAATTAAGCTAACAAAAGATTACTAGCTTTTAATATACTGTTTGCATTCTATGTATAACTAATGATGGAAAGTAGAAACACAAATATATATTTGTGTTATAAAAGACCAGCATGTTTCTGAGAGCATAAAGGGAAAATAATAATTGGTATTAACCAGTGCAAACTTTATACAGGCAACCCTAGTAGGCTCTACTGGGCAAATGGTTCAAAAATGCAATTCAAAACATTATCTTTTTAAACTTTGATCCTTTCTATTTAAAGTAAATAATTCACATTCACTTTAGCAAATAAATATTTCAAGTATATGCTTATGATCAGCATTAGAACTCTGTCAACTGATAATTAAATCACTAGTTTATTTCATTATTAATATCATGGATTCTGAATAACTTAGAAAACCAAGTTAAAAGTTACATTATGTAACATTCTCTATCTAAATGTCTAATTATAAGAACATCCCATTTCTTATGTTTCATACAGTATATTATATTGGCAAACAAAACTACATGAAATAAAACTAAAATGCCTGCATTTCCACAAGAGGTGACAATTTCATCACTTTTTAAAAATTCTCATAAGACTAAAAGCAAAAGTAAACAAGCAAAAAACAACTTTGATAAATTAATGTGACAAGTTTATGAAGTCTTTAGAAAACTAAAATGAGATCTGAGATAGAAATTTTATAATATTATAGGCATGGGTAATTAACTTAAAATACTATTTTTTATTTTCCTTTAGTGACTACTGATTATTGATTATACATATTGCAATGTGTATGACTCTTTTTTTTTAGATTTTATTTATTTATCTTTAGAGGGGAAGGGAAGGAGAGAGGGAGAGAAACACCAATGTATGGTTGCCTTTCGTGCGTCCCCTGCTGGGAACTGGCCTGCAGGGAACCGGCCTGCAACCCAAGCATGTGCCCTGGCAATGTGTATGACTCTTGAATGTACAGAAAATGTGTTTTAATGAAAAATATACTTGTGCACTCATGTGTGTTAATTTCTCAATCAAATACAACTATAAATACTGTAATGTTTATTCATTAGTATCTACTGAAAGCTAATGAAGAATGATATGGTGATGGAATTGTAAAGTAAAATGCTGCATTTGAGACCTTGGAATAGGATTTACTTTAAAAGTGATTTCTCATTCGTTTATTTTCTTATCCATTTCCAATTTCCAATTATTTCAAAAACAAAGAAGTCAAAACAATATTAACTTCAATTTTAACAAATTTTAAAATCCACAAAAGTTACTTGCCATAGACTACAATTCAAGACGAGGTGATGTCATATGGAATTCCAGTTTGAAGTAGTAACACAAGTATACTATTAAAAGGATAATTCATCTAGGATATTAACCCAACCCTAAGAATGATGTCATAACAAGAAAAGATTGTATTTCTTTTATAGCATCTTTAGGAGGTGGGTATATTTTAATAAATTAGACAAGTACCATATAAGAATTCTAAAAAGTTTGCAAATCATTACTTTAATAAAGCCATAACTATAGAGTCAGTCCTTGTGCTATTTGGCTCACAGTTGATGTTTTTAAAGGATGGTATGAAATAAAAATATCTCATTGTGGTTTTAATTTGCATCTCTCTGAAGGCTAGTGATGCTGAGCATCTTTTCTTTTTGTCTCTGGGCCCTCTGTATGTCCTCCTTGGAGAAGTGTCTGTTCAAGTCCTTTGCCCATTAAAAAAATTTTTTTTGTCTTTCTGGAGAAAATGGAGACAAGTATACTTGAATAACAATAAAAAAAAGAAACAAAACTGTCCCTGGTTGGTGTAGCTCAGTGGATTAAATGCTGGCTTGTGAACTAAAGGGGTTCATTTCCAAGCCAGGGCACATGCCTGGGTTGCAGGCCAGGTCTCCAGTAGGGGGCACATGAGAGACAACCACACATTGATGTTTCCGTCCCTCTCTTCCCTTCTGTCTACAAATAAATAGAGAAAATCTTAAAAAAAAGAAACTGAGCAGAAAAAAGTAAAAATATCAAGCCAATGGCTCTAGTCATGAAGTAAAAGAAAGTGATAGTTGATACATAAAATTAAAAGTATCTGAAATGACTTTTTGTAGCAGTAAGTAAAAAGGGGACTAAGTCTTACAAATTATAGACTTCTAGTTTTAAAAGGAAATGTAAAGATCATTTTGTCTAAGCCCCACATCTTCCGTATGAGAAAACTAAGAAACTAAGGCACAGCAAAGCAAAATAACTTAGCCACTTTAGTGAGTAGCTTTACTAAGACTCAACACAGATCTCCTAATGACAAATGACTGAGGCTACCAAAAATAGTAAAATATCTTGAAGAAAAAGGAACTAAGTGATGGACTATTAATATTTGGTTCATATCTGAACTACTAACAGAATCAATCTTTCTTTGATAACTTGTCCATTTATCAGATATTATTGAGTAATTAATATGATCAAAGCATAGAGGTCAACTTTTTTTACACAACAGACCATATAGGAATGAAGTTCCTTCCAATTCTTCAAGATACAGTTCAAAATCACAATTTTTGTGATTCCTTCTCTGATTTCACTTGGTAGTATTTACTATTCTTTCCTTTGTCCATCTATGCGAATTTCACAGCCTGTTTACACAGATAAATGCCTACTTGTACTCTGTAGAAGCAACAAGTTAATTTAACTTTTAAATTCTTTCAATACCTAGCCCCCTGCCTGAAACAGAAAATATGAACAAATGTCTGTTAAAATGAATGAATAAATGAATGATCGGAAGGATATATAAATATATGAGAATGATCAATCAATGAAAGTTTATGGTTTAAAGTATGTCACTGCATTTATAACATTAAATAGTTCACGATATTAATTTAAATGATATTCTTGATCTCACATACCTCTCATATTTAATGCCAAATGTGAAGTCAGTACAGCAACCCAACTATAACATATTATTATGTGTTTCATCATTCTTAGAAACCAAGAGAAGTTGGGGGGAATCAGGAAATATTTAAAGTAATAGTAGAATTAGATGACAATGTTAATTTTTAAAAAGAAAATGCTAGTAAAATGGTAAGGTCAATAATACCTTAAGATTAACTAATTCCACCTCAGTTTTCTTTGAAAGAACACAGCAAAAACATGCACGCTGTCAGAATTTCTAAAAGAATAACATTCAAAGATCTGCACCTCGTTAAAAGAGTAAGAAGAAAATCTGTGACCAACCCAATGCAGAAATAATGATTTATTATAATATTCAAATCTATTATAATGATAGTATTAATGCCCAATACAATGACTTATATTTATGTAACTTTACAGCAGTCGTTCACATTTATTAACTTGTTTGATTTTTCACAACAACCTAGTGAGGTATGTAGTGCAGATGGTTTATCTCCAATTTATAGATTAGGAAACTGAATTAATGAGAGGGTAAGTGACTTGCCAAAAATGACACTGTTATTAAGTGGCAGAACTGCTTGTAGTACTGGGGCCCTGGGACTCATTCTGACCCACTGCTTGCAATAGTTCTCACAGGCTGCTCTCCAGAGTTTTTGATTCAGTAGGTATGGGGTGGGACCTGAGAATTTGCATCTCTAACAAGTTCCCAAGGGAAGCTGATCCTGCTAGTCCAGGGAGGCCCTCACTGAAAACCACTGAGTTATACCAGGCTGCCTCCACTAAATTAAGCTGAATTACACAGAAAGTATTCTGAAAACATGACTTATCTGATGTTTCTTTCTTATGTGAGCTAACTTTCTTAACATAAACTATTTGACAGATGGAAGTAGAGTATTTTAGATGTCACAGTAATTTGTCATGAACCAGAAAATACTTAACAAAAACAAATCTCTGCCTGCAAACAGAAAACATCTGATTTACTTGAAGTAAATTGCTATTCTAAACTAAATAAACTGATTGAAATTCTCCCTAAACCAGCTGTTACTAACTTAATATATTTCCAGTTTTATCTCCTAATTAGTTCATACTCTCAGAAGTCAACTGTAATTATGTGAGATATATAAGGTTGTTTAACAATAAAAGAAAAAAAACATTATTTGAAATGTTACAACACTTACATTTTCTGTAGTTCCAGTAATTACGTGGAGGCCATCATATGTTGATTTAATATACATACCCTAAGAAAAAGACAGCATCACAAAAAAAGTGAAGCAACTGGAATATTTCCAGGTATATTTACAAAAAAATTACTCTATCAAATTACTTGGTTAGATTTTTTTAAATTTTATTTTTAAATTACAATTTATATTCAATATTATTCTGTATTAGTTTCAGGGGTACAGAATAGCAGTTAGACAATCATATTCTTTGCAAATTATTTCTTCCAATATTTCAAGTACCCACCTGACACCACACATAGTTATTACAATAGTGTTGAACCGTATCAAACTAAAATTGCCACATCCCCCAGGAATGAGTCTATGACTCAATAATGCTATCTTTAAACTGGTAAGAAATTCTTATCTGAATTTTCTGGGTTCTAATGTTTGCCTGAAGAAAGCTGTACATGGCTTAATCAAATAACTACTTAGTAAGCGAACTGCCTATAAAACTTGTAAAATGCAGCTTCATAATGCAATACTCTGAAGAAAGAACACACCTCATCCCTCAAAATCCACACTATAGGTTCTGTGGCAAAATAAAAATTACAATGAAAAATTCAAACACTGGTATGCAGTTAGCTTATTATACTTGATATATATTATACAATAATAAGTAGGCTTCTACAGAGCCACTTCAATTACAACTAACTAGATACAGAAGAGTGACAAAACACTGTTTTTTTTTTAAATTTTATTTAGTTATTTTTCAAGTACAGTTTTTTGTCTATTTTTCCCATCCCAGCCTCCCCTGCCCCTTGCTCCCCACCTCCCTCCCATTTCCTCCCCCCACCCCTTAGTTCTCGTCCCTGTGTCCTTCCTATTTGTTCCTCCAAATCCCTCCCCCTTTTTGCCCTTAACTTCCCTTCCTTCTCCCCTCTGGTCACTATCCCCTTGTTCTCTATTTCAGTGTCTTTGTTTTTTGGGGTTTTTTTCTGCTTACTTGTTTGTTTTGTTGTTTAGCTTCCTGTTAAAGGTGAGATCATATGGTATTTGTCTTTCAGCACCTGGCCTATTTCACTCAGCATAATGCTTTCCAGTTCCATCCATGTTGTTGCAAAGGGTAGTAGCTCCTTCTTTCTCTCTGCAGCATAGAATTCCATTGTGTATATGTACCACAATTTTTGGATCCATTCATTTACTGATGGGCACCTAGGTTGCTTCCAACTCTTGGCTATTGTAAATTGTGCTGCTATGAACATTGTGGTGCATAGGTTCTTTGATATTGATGTTTTAGGATTCTTAGGATATAATCCTAGCAGTGGAATTGCTGGGTCAAAAGGCAGGTCAATTTTTATTTTTCTGAGAAAAATCCATACTGTTTTCCAGTATGGTTGTACCAGTCTGCACTCCCACCAACAGTGAACTAAGGACCCCTTTTCCCCACAACCCCTCCAACATTTGTTGTTTGTTGCTTTGTTTATGATAGCCATCCTGACTGGTGTAAAGTGGTATCTCATTGTGGTTTTAATTTGCATCTCTCTGATAGCTAATGATATTGAGCATCTCTTCATGTGTCTCTGAATGTTCTGTATGTCCTCCTTGGAGAAGTGTTTGTTCAAGTCCTTTTCCCATTTTCTAATTGGGTTGGGTGTCTTCTTAGAGTGGAGTCGTGTAAGTTCTTTGTATATTTTAGAGATTAAACCTTTGTCTGAGGTATCATTGGCAAATATGTTTTCCCATACAGTTGGTTGTCTTGCTAATTTAATACTGTTTTCTTTAGCCATGCAGAAGCTTTTTATTTTGATGAGATCCCATTTGTTTATTCTTTCCTTTACATTCCTTGCTCTAGGGGACATATCAGTAAAGAAGTTGCTGCGTGAAATATCTGAGATTTTCTTGCCAATGTTCTCCTCTAGGACTTTAATGGTGTTATGACTTACATTTAAGTCTTTTATCCACCTTGAATTTATTTTGGTGTATGGTGTAAGTCTGTGCTCAAGTTTCATTTTTTTGCATGTAGCTGTCCAGTTCTCCCAACACCATTTGTTGAAGAGGCTATCTTTACTCCATTTTATGTTACTGCCCCCTTTGTCGAATATTAATTGACTGTAGAGAGTTGGGTTGATTTCTGGGCTCTCTGTTCTGTTCCATTGGTCTATGTGCCTGTTTTTATGCCAGTACCAGGCTGTTTTGATTACAGTGGCCTTGTAATACAGTTTGATATCAGGTATTGTGATCCCCCCTACTTTGTTCTTCTTTCTCAAAAGAGCAGCTGCTATTCGAGCTCGTTTATGGTTCCATATAAATTTTCGAAGTGTTTGTTCTATGTCTGTGAAATATGCCATTGGTACTTTAATAGGTATTGCATTGAATCTGTATATTGCTTTGGGTAGTATGGACATTTTGATAATGTTAATTCTTCCAATCCATGAACAAGGTATATGTTTCCATTTGTTTGTGTCTTCCTTGATTTCGTTCTTCAGGGCTGTGTAGTTTTCTGCATACAGGTTTTTTACCTCCTTGGTTAGGTTTATTCCCAGATATTTTATTTTTCTTTTTGCTATATCAAATGGGATTTTTCTCTTTATTTCTGCTTCTGCTGATTCACTGTTGGTATACAAAAATGCCTTTGATTTCTGGATATTGACTTTATAACCAGCTGTTTTGCCAAACTCATCAATTAGTTTGAGGAGTTTTTGGGTAGAGTCTATAGGATTTTCCATGTACACTATCATGTCATCTGCAAACAGTGACAGTTTTGTTTCCTCCTTTCCTATTTGGATGCCTTTTATTTCCTTTTCTTGCCTGATCGCTGTGGCTAAAACTTCCAATACTATATTGAATAGAAGTGGTGAAAGTGGACAACCTTGTCTTGTTCCTGATCTTAGTGGAAAAGCTTTTAGTTTTTTCCCGTTGAGTATGATATTGGCTGTAGGTCTCTCATATATGGCCTTTATTATTTTGAGAAATGCTCCTTGTATTCCCACTTTGCTGAGTGTTTTTATCATAAATGGGTGTTGTACCTTATCGAAAGCTTTTTCTGCATCTATTGATATGATCATGTGATTTTTGTCTTTGCTTTTGTTTATATGATGTATTAAAAACACTGTTAATGTAAACTGTTTTTCTCCTGGTATTTTGTGGGATCCTACATTTTCTGCCTTTATTTCTTATTGATGAAATTTTAATAATTATATACAATACTTTCCAATAAAGAGGATGAGATTCCATTTTCCATTTAAATAAAGCCATTTTTGAAAAACTTCACTGAACTGTAAAGATTATCCAAAAATCCTGAAACTGAGATGATTACAGCAAACAAAACCTTTAAATTATGGATAGTCATAGGACTTAAAAGAGCTTTACCTATAAAAGTGCTTTGCATTGAAAAATATTGATTTGAAAAATAAAAAATACTAATTTTAATGAATTTGAAGTCTGAAATATAAGGGACTTAACATAACCAACAATATCATTTCAGAAAAAGCATACATGTAAGCACTTATGTTAGAAAGTTATTATAATGTTAATTTCCCATACCCTTATGTTAGTTATATATTTAGATACTGGAATATACACGTATTTTCATTGAAAATAAGTACAAAATATAAACAGGAAGCAGTAAAGTTCATGGTATGGAATTATTAAAAGTCATCATGTAGGTTTTAATTCTGAAAAATCATTTCAATAATGTCACTGTGTCTAAAATGTTGGTATCAGTCCCCCAAATGGCAAAGCCTTGATCTCTAATATGAAACAAAATGAATGTAATTTTAAAAAAATTATTTATTTATTTATTTATCTTTAGAGGGGAAGGGAAGGAGAGAGGGAGAGAAACATCAATGTATGGTTGCCTCTCGTGCGTCCCCCAGTGGGAACTGGCCTGCAACCCAGATACGTGCCCTGATTGGGAATTGAACTGAGATCCTCTGGTTTGCAGGCCCATGCTCAATCCACTGAGCTGCACCAGCCAGGGCTGAATGTAATTTTAAAAGATGTTTACTTACCTGTGAACTTTAGTTTCTTAAAGGGAAGTTCATTACTATGTAAAATAAATTACCTCAACACAAGTGCAAATAGAAATTCATTAAGAAATTAGCTAATAGTCTTTTGCTATGACCATATGGTAATATTCAAGCTTACATTGGTGACAAGTGTATAACATACCTTTGAAGTTGATATTTATTCCAGTATTTACTGGAAGGTAAATATAATGGTGCTATTATAGAACTCAGAAAAGACAAGATTCTTGAAATCATTCCCCTTCACTACCCATGGGAATTAACAAAATGACATTAGTAAAGGATCTTAAAGTATATTTGTGATAGCTAAACACTGAATTTTGTTTTAGTTTTGTATGTAGAATGATTGTGAGAAAATAAAGTGGAAAAGGACAGTGAAAAAACAATAGATATTGCTTGGACATACAAAACAATCATCACTCATTATTTGTCACCATCATCACTAATATCTACTTGTTATAACATGGCAGGGACTATTTTAAGTTTTTACATTTAAAATAGAAACGATCATTACTTCTGTTTTAGAAATAAGGAAATAGGTAAAGAAAGGTTAGGGAGTCTGCCTAAGGTGGTACAGCCAGTTTCCAAGCCCAGGCAGTCTGACTCCAGACCATAATCTCAACACTAGGATCCTGACTTATTGATTTATTAACAGGTGAGTTGTACACCTTCACTTATCAGAATATTTAGCAACTATAGATATTAAAGCCAAATGTTCACTATTTAACATCTATTTGAAAATACTAAGAACTCTTTAGCACACATGTACTATGTGCAGTGCATGTATAGAGTAACTGAGATTTAATATTTTACAAATTTACTTTAATCACCTATCTCTTTTGACAACCATAAGCTAAAGCTTATTATATTGCCCTCACAATTCTTTCAACACTGTGCATTACTGATTATGGATTAAGGAGTTTGACAAGAGGTCTAAATAATCTCATAAATGATTAGATCATAAAGTCTAGTATCTTAAGAGAAAGGTTTAGAAAAGACATTATAATTATTGGCACAATAAAAACTTCTGGAGATAATCTAGTTATGACTCTG